TATCAACATTGTGTTTAATGCAATTGTAATCACTAATATGAATAAGGTTACTCAAGTTAAGACAAATACCATTCAAAAATAATTTTATAACGAAAATTAACAAAAAAATATGCTAACATTTTGAAAACATTTTAGAAGCAAGAAAAAAAGGAAATAAAAAAGTATTAAGCATCAATTTTGCTCAACTACAATTTTTACTTGAAAAAATTTATTAAAAAAATTGCGTTGCATCCCAACCGATCTTGTTTCGGGGAAAAAATTATCGAAATTTGAGTTTTAAACATTTAAATCTAACAGACAAAATACATTTCAACCATGTTTTTAGTTATTAATATATAAGTATAATTTGGATTATAACTTTTTTACTAAATCACTACAATCAATAGTCACTACTTTATGTGGACAAGTCAGCTGTTGTAGTTCTATATTATATTCTCCAATGAACTCTGTAATTACTCAATCAAAACATTATTTCAATTCCCATATTTTTTTCTTCTTTGATTATGTGGGGACGGTTTCTTCCAGTTTTCAACTGCCACGTGATTAATGCCTTGTATGATTTAGCTGCTCATAGGCAAAGAATAAGCTTTTGCAGAAGTTTGAAACGAAAGAATGAAAAGTTTCATTCAAGAACATAAACATCACTTAAACATGGAATTATTATAAACAAGGCATAAAACAACGTCATACATATGTCGTCATACATCAAATCATACTTATGCCGAATAAAAAGAAAATATTTGATCTGTAAAAATAACTATCGAATATTATTGATCGAGGCTTCAAATTGTGACGAAATTTTCGAAATATATACATGGTTATTCATAATTCCCTCCGGGGTTTCGAAGCGTATGATATCTGAAAGGGGCTTCAGTGGTACATGTTACTGCCATCTACCGGCAACTGCTTAAATTAAAACTTGAATACTTTCGGAATAATTTCATATGTTCTAAAGCAACAATGCGCGTTACACGGTTTGTTCCGCTTATAGCAGTTTGACTCATGCCAGATATCAAATTTAAATAATGTTTTACTAACACCATCAATACTTTTCATTAGTCATTTGGTTCATGTTAGAAGAATCTACTTTTGTTGGTTGCTACAGAAAAGAGCACCTTACGAGAAGTATGATCAGTAACACCTTCAGTACATGAGAATCAGCAAGATTGCTTATGAAAGCAAAAGTGGTAGCCGTGTCAGATTTAATCATTTCAAACAGGTATATAACAAGATGTATGAAGAGAGGGCTTGCTTAGTCAACATTGATACTGCAGCTTTACATCGCACACGGCCGTAACGCAACAACGTTGCGCTTAACAGAATTGCCACATCCTCCGTAATCTTTCATCTGCCACTCTCGAATTACGCATTTTTTTTATTTTTGACAAGATGAAGAACGCAATTAAGGATCAAAACGTTTAATATTCTGCAAGAAGGCATACAATAAATGTTGTAAGTAATGCGCCAAAAACCCGAAAATTAGTTCCTCAAAACTCTCAAAATTAGTTTTAAACAGCCAAATAGCAGAAAAACATTGATGTGGCTTGGGAATACAGGTAACTGATGTAACTATCCTTTTTTATTAATAAATTGTATTCTGCCCTGTGACAAATTTTCATTTCTGTACGACCTATGTACACGTTCAGGAGTATGCATACACTACTAAAAATAAAGGGTTTGTACTTCATAAATATGACAGTGATTGTGGTATACTGTAAAAAAATTACAATAAAATAAAATAAATAAATAGAATGCCAATTGATTCTCCTTTTTTGTCGATTTTGACTATGTAATTTTCATGTAGCTTATAAAATGCAACAGGTTACTGAAATTTAAAATTCATTAATAAAAAGATTGAATTTTATGGGGATTACATGTTACGAAAAAAGTTGTTACTTTTCAGCTTTATCGCGAATTTCCAAGTTTAAAAATCTGTGTCTTTTTAGAACTTAAAAATATATGAATTATTACTTTATATGAAATAATGGAACTTAATTACCTTCTTAAATTACGCCTCGCTTTGTTTAACATCTTATTCAAGCGGATTTACATTGAAAGCATCACCTGAATAATTAACTATACGTCCTTTACTATCAGATGTTTCCTCAGTCTGTTCATATCTTATTTGAATATTTCAATGCTTACCTATTTGTGAATATTGAAATGCAANTCAATGCTCAACCAAAACAGTGTTAAAATTCCAGATGAATGGGATAGGGGTCACTTCGCGGCCCAGGTGCCCAATAAAATCAAAACACTACAACTAGGACTTCGTTAGAGTGTAGTTAAGCATTAGCTAAATTTAAATGCAACCAGCTTTCGATTGAAATGGCATTTACCTGATACTAGAGAAAAGTTGGCAGGCATAAGTTGCAGTGAACACGCAGAGATGCCAACTTGCTCCGGACAGCGAATAAATATTTTCAAGCGGTAGTTTATTAATTGTGATTCTTAGTTTAATAAATTGAATTTATTAAATTTTTATCCACCACTATTTCTAAATAATTCGTAGGCTTATATAATTCACCACTTTAAACTAGTTAAGTTATGCTATATCTTTTAAAAAGCTAACATGAATAGTCCTATATTTGCAAAATTTAGTTTGTAGTTATTTACCGTTTTTTTAAAAATTATTTTGTTTTATCCGGAGCAGTTGGCATCTCTGAACATGTAAGAATGCCACTAGCGACTAAAAATGTATAAAATGGTAGAAACTCAATTCATTGTAAACTGAAAGTAATATGCAAGAAAAAGTTGTTAATTTTAATCTCATATAAAAAATTTTGAATTTTATTAGTCACTACTTTTTGCATTTTTAATACTGAGACGGAAGAGAGCAAAAACTGGTGAAAAAATATTTGCTTGCTGACAGTTAAAATATCCACGACAACCAATAATTTTTCTAACATTTATAACAAACTTATAGGACAATTTTATAACTGCTAACTTTTATGCATTTGGCTTAAAATTTTATTTCTATATTTAAAGTGGTAGTAAAATATATGCTTTCTATTTCTTCCTTGCATTTATAAACTTAATTTATAATATTTTTGATCCACCACTATTTTTAAAAAATTAAGCAAATATATAATTATACTACACTGTTACAGTAATTTGCATAAGCTTGCACTAACTGCAAAGAATGTTTCTCCTTAAAATTGCAATTTCAATTTTATTTTACTACCTATGGGGAATAAAAAAAAATCTAATAGTGATGAGTAGTTTACTCCACACAAATGAAATGACTGTACTTTCAGTTTCTCATCTTATCAGTATTATCCATACTAATTCGTGCGTTTCTTTTAAATTTTAGTGATTGTTTTTAATTAGATTTTATAATTATATTTTATTTAAAACTTATTTATGTTTTTATAGTCAAAACTCGTACATAAAACACAAATATTCTTTTTATTCTTACATTTTTATAGAAATATTTACCAAAAGAGAAACTTTCCTTCGCCGTATGAAAAAAATATGATTAAATTGGAGATCGATAAACGAGATGAACGGAAAAGTTAAAATGAAAAAGCATAAAAAAAAAAAAAAAATAGTTGTGTTTGCATTATTCAATTAAAAAGACACTCTCCTTTTTAGCCTGAGTCTTAAATTACGCCTCGCTTTGTTTAACCTCTTATTCAAGCGGATTTACATTGAAAGCATCACCTGAATAATTAACTATACGTCCTTTACTATCAGATGTTTCCTCAGCCTGCTCATATCTTATTTGAATATTTCAATGCTTACCTATTTGTGAATATTGAAATGCAAGACTGATGGATTTGCGTATTGTAGAAAGGAGTTATGAACTGTTATTGTTGTCTGTAACGAAATTATAATGTGAGGAACCTATTTCAATATGTATATATTGAAATAGGTTAATTATGTGGAAAACAGGCAATTCATATTTCTTTCTCTTTTCTATTTTATACATATTTTTTTCCTTAAATAAATATTTATTTTCTAAAATTATTTATTGTCAACTTCTTTAAATTATCCAGTATAATATTACCGTGCGCACATCCATTTTCGGGCGGGCCAAACGCACTTCAGTAATGCAGCAAGAACGCGCTTAATACGCTTTTAGCTCAATTTACGCTTTTGTTTTCATTTTTTGAAATCTGGCAATCTCGTTACGAAAATATTTTAAATCATTCTTGAAAAATTTCCCTTTCATGTAATTCGCTACTCGCTTTATAGATTTCATTTCATGTTTTATTTTGTTTCTTCTTTATATTTTGTTTTTACGTGATATTTTTACTTATTGTGTTCTATTTTATTTGTTGTAAAATTTTTGGTGTGCTTCTCACACTATTGCATTGATATATTTTGCTTTGGCTATATTGATGCAATATTAGAAAGCACTCTTTTTTGCGGATATAATCGTGTGAGCTGATGAAAAGATTATATCTTTTATTTTCCGGAATTTTAAAAAAAAAATTTTTCTTCCGGTTTTTGTTATTTTTATTATTATTTTTCTTTATTTCCCCTTTTTTCATTGATTTGTAATTTTTCCCTTGTTTTCTCTACATTTTGAACTTATTTTGAGTTCTATTTACTAGCAGCTTATGCGCAATAAATGAAACTTATTGTTTTTCTTAATTTTCGTTGTTTTTTTATTTTGCTTTATTTATTATGCTATATATATATATATATATACATACCTGTCAACTTTTACGTATTTGGCGTAAAATTTTATTTCTATATATAAAGTGGTAGTAAAATGTATGCTTTCGATATATTCCTTGCATTTATAAACTTAATTTATAATCTTTTTGATCCACCACTATTTTTAAATAAATTAACCATATATAATAATATGTAATACTATTGTAGTAATCCGCATAAGATTCTTCAAAATACAGCGAATGTTTCTGCTTAAAATTGTAATTTAAATTTCATTTTACTACCACTGGGGAAAATCATCCTTCAAAGGATTAAAAGTTGGCACGTATGTATGTATATATATATATATAAATAAAATCTTTTTTTTCTTCAGATTCTTGTGTTTTATGGCCCAGTATTAAAATGGAGTTTGTTCGCAGAAATGGTTCGGCATTATCTCTACTAATACAGATTTTTACTATTTTTAAAACAACTAGGTAAGTAATTTATAAATTTTTATAGGTTCCTATACTTCTCTTTATATCATTTAGCTAAGAATAAATAAAAGAAAGGGTAATAAACGATTGTCAGATTTTGAAATTTATGCAAAGTAATAGTAATCTTCACCTCATTAGATGTTTAAAGTACTTATTTGTCAAAAACGGAGTCTAAAATTATAGACATTGTAAAGGTTACACACTAATAATTATGTGTAAGAAACTATTATCAAAACTCTGATGAATTAATAACAATGAACAAAACAAAAAACTTGAGTACTAATTTGATTTTCATATTAAAAAACGGGGAAATTACCAAGAAATATCGTTTACGTCTTTCAGTTTGCCGTGCATTTAAGTGTTTTAGTGTTGACAAATTAGACAGCTTCAAATTACCTTAATTGTTCTTTTCGTTACTATAAATATTATGAAAACTAGGAATTTCGGGTAGGCAACTGTGCACATTAAAACAAAAATGTCAAATATATTGGTTAGTTCACAAAATGTAGCTCAACTCATTTCTATGAAAACTCCAACAAATATTTATCTCACATGTTTGATGAGTTAGCCATTTCCCCTGCAAACTTGATGGTAAAGCTTATGAGGATTTGTGTGACCTGTACCACCGAAGATTTTAAAAAAGGTCTTCAACAATATATGATATAATTTGATCGGAAGCACGTAGATTCAAGTAAGGATCCAAGATATATGTCAATCAAACAACTGATAAACTAATTTTTATTTTAAAAGCAGCAGCAACGACGCATCTATGCACTTGCGTCTAACATTAAAGGCCTAATTATGCACTGAGAGGTCTGTTTATTATACAAACCGTATACTCTTAATAATTAGAATAGTTGTCTTGAGTTTATGCGATTTTCCGTCTGCGAACCATAGTTTCCGCCAATCTTTTTTTTTTCCACGCTAGAATATTTCTGTTTCCTACTGAAACGTACTGCCGTTGGGAAAAAGTAAGATTTGCGGAAACTACTGTAATGGAGAGGAGGAAATGTGAAGAGTGGAAAAATCACGTAACCTTGAGACTCGGCGCCTATTCTATTTAGAAATAGTATAACAATCTTCCGTTTGGGCATTTGTAGTCGTTAAACCATTAATGGGCAGTTACAAATAGTTGTTTATATATGAAAAATGCCTATATGAAAAACGTCGTAATAATATCTAGATATTTGTTTATACCGAGTGGATATTTTTTTCAGTTACTCATTACTGCAGCTTTAAAAAACACTGAGATGCTTTAATGTGAGCGTAATATTTGAGGTATCCTTACCTACCTTGTAAGTGCAACGAAGTCAATCGCCAGAAAGCAACGAAAGACTGATATCGAAATTTAAAGTACAATAAATTATTTACTAAAAAAATTAAATTATCCGATTAATATGAAATAATAAATACAAGAACCATAACGAAAATTACGAGTAACATATAAAACAATATTTACGAATCCGAATAATATATATTAGTGTAGATTCATAAGTGCTATTCGATGATAAGGAGAAGAATTAAGACAGAGAATTTTACTTCAGATCTAAATATAACTATTTACATTATTAATATATTACGATAGATAGAACTATTTTGTTTTTCTAAAAAAATCCAATTGTAAAGCAACTACGCTATCGTGTTTTTTTTTTCTTTGCTAAAAAGGAGTCGTCTTTTTAAAAGGACGCTAAGAACAGAAGCAACCACACTGCCTGCTGATAACAACGTTCAACCCCAAATAGTGCAATATTTTATAATGAGTAGGATAGGGGCCGCTGTGTGGCCCAGGTGTCTAGCTTCAATAAAATACTAGGAAGGAAAAGGACGCTAAACACAATAGTAGAATAGTAACTTAATTTTGACATGAACTCTATGATTACCATTTCTATACCTATGACTACCTATCTGACTATCATTTTCTAAAAGGAAAATGGATAGAGAAGAATCGGAAAGCACTTCCAACTTCTTCTCAGAAGTTGATTGAGATCTGACAATTAAAAGTGCCTTAAAATAAAGCCTATTATTTAATACCTCTATTTTGTTTACCTGGGCTTGTTAACTATTAAAAACTGTTTTTAAAATAAAGTCTAAAAGCCGAAGTTGAAATATTTTGTTAGTTTTACTGAGATGAATTCGTTAGGACTTTTTAGCTTTTTATAGGACTCAGCGAGCACTGTTTAATTTAATGATGTTAATTAATGTGCATTGTATTATTTTACACATCATGACTTTATGTTCTTTTTTTTAGATCACATATTTTAGAATTTGATTCAATTTTGCCTATCAATCCAGATGAATACGACAATCTGCAGCCTCCCAAAGAAAACGGTAATCTTTTATGAATTAAGGGAATATTGATTTTGATTAACTGAAGAAAATTGTATTGCAGAGTTGAAACAATGAAAATTCACTATTTTGATATTAAATAACTCACTAAATCTGGTCTCGCTCACCTGCCAAACACTCTGTAGCGTAGAGGTTTCGCTCTTCATATAACGCAAATGCGGGTTAGTTCCATCAAGAAGTCCTTCACGAATGCAAATTTCTCCCAATACTTAATGCAGGAGTTACCTTGTCTTCTGGATTGGGTTCAAAATTACAAGGCTACGGAGTTGAACATTTCGTAGTCATAAACCCAAAATTGGGTCGGCTGTTCAACGAAGGTTTTTAAAAAAATAATTTAAAAAATGTAAAGATTTTCGGTTAATTTTGCCAACTTTTTTTTTAAAAACTAAACACAAAAACCTTTGAATTATTTAGAAGTAATAGTGAGTAAAAACCCTATAAATCAAATTTATTAAACAAAGAAACGTGCATTAAAAGATTAACACTTGAAAATATTTCTCACTGTCCGGAACAAGTTGGCATCTCCGATACGGTAGGCTTTCTAGCTCGCTAAAAGTGTTTATAATTGTTGGCTAAATTTTAATGAAACACCTGTTTACTATCTCAATTGAATTGACCTTTCCCTACCACTATTAACGCACTTTTTGTGAAAGTTGACAAGTATGTTATCAAATGAATTGAAAGTAGATTTTGATGGCACAAGATCCAAATGAGGAAATGCTGAGGCCAAACAACACGTTTATACATGTCAAAAAGTATAATACAGCGATCTCCGAGATCTGTGTATACAGTGACGTCATGAGGAGAGAAATCGTAGCTTTAGCTCTAAGAGCGGAATGAACTAGCCCTTCTATTCTCTTTAGCCCTGATGTATGATTCTTGGGTTAGTAAATTCAATTTATAAGGTTTCTACTCACCACTACTTCTAAATAATTTAATGAATTATGTTTCACTTTGTTTCTGTTCCATTATCGACTCCTCATTTCCGACAAATCGGTCAATGATTATTTCTAACGTTTCTGTTTAGAATGTAGAGTCTTGTTAAAAAATCGACAATCTGCAAATTTCAGTTTGCAGCTCTCTACCGTTTATTAAAATACAGTCAATTCGCTATAACTCGAAGTACGATAACTCGAATATTACTATAACTCGATTTTTTATGAGGTCCCGACCCTTTTATCTTCAACTTCATGTTAATTATTCTCGATTACTCGAATTTTACTCCCTTTAACTCGATTTTTTTTGATCTTTTGAAGCAAGAAAAAAAAACATAGGAGCTGATATCTTGTCCCTTCCTTTGCAACACACACATAATGTCTTTCGCACTCTTCATGGAGAAGCTAAAGCTGTCCCTTTTGAAGTATGTGAACAGTGGTTAAATGAAACGTTACCAAATTTACTTCAAGGATACAGTTAAAATGATGTTTTCAATATTGATGAAATGGGTTTATTTTTTAAATATCTTCCAAATAAGACTATGATGTTTAAGGATGAAAACTGCTCAGGGGGTAAAATGAGCAAGGAACGTTTGACTGTCCTAGTTGGAGGAAATGCGTCTGGGACAGACAAATTGCCCTTACTTGCTATCGGAAAATACCGAAATCCCCGATGTTTCAAGAATGTAAAAACGTATCCTTTGGATTACAAGTCTAACAAAAAGTTTTGGATGACATCTGTATTATTTGAAGACTATGTAAGAAAATTGGATCGGAAATTCTTCGCTAAGAAAAGAAAACTGATACTCTTTATGGATAAATGCACAGCGCATAGTGATCTACCTAATTTGAAAGCAGTAAACTTGCAGTTTCTCCCGCCAAACACAACAGCAAAGTTACAGCTGATGGACCAGGGTTTCATAAAGTGCTTCAAACAGTCTTATCTTAAATGGCCTGTCAGAAAAATGGTCTTAAATATTGTAAGCATTTAGAAGATTTGTAATTAATAAGCATTAATTAAATAATCCGACAATATTTTGAAAGTCCAAAACCGAAACTAACGGTAAGTAGAACTTCCGATATGTCGAAGTTTTTCGTCAGTCCTATCAGATTCGAGTTATCGCGAATTCACTGTACAAAATACACTAAACATTGATAAAATACGACAAGAACAATCTAAGTTGATAATGAAATAAAATCAGCCGAAATTGTCAATTCAATGAAATTTTATGAAATAGTTAAAATGGTACAAAGGCAAGAATATACTTAGAAACGTGAATAAAATCATGAGAAGATTAAATTTAATATGCAATTTAAAATACCAATAACGCGAAAAAACACAAAAATGTTACAGAATGATGAGCATTATCTAAAAACCTCCATAGATAAAAAATAATAGAACTACCGAAAAGGAGATGTCGGTAAAAACATGGGCAAATGATTGAATATGATGAATAATTAATTAAACATTACAAGGGTTGCATTGAGGAGGAGGATCCCTAGATGGGTCAAGTCCAGTAAGACCAATTCGGAACAGGGTGAAATGAACATCCATGCAAGGGATTCAAATCGAGTTCGACAGAGTACAATTTATAGATAGTTTGGGAGTCCCATTGCTGTTTCCATGATGATCTTATAAACAGTCGAATATGTGATTTTGTGTCTAAGAAAGGGACGGCTGTGTTGGCCTAAATTATTGCCCGGAATTTCAACATAATTTGGTATTCAGCAGAACAAAATATCGAAACCATTCTTAAAATCAAGTGATATTCATTTCACGACAAATAAAATTCAATTTCACTGATTTTTACCGTAAAGATAAATCCTGTCCAATAAACATCAGGAAAATAGAAATTATTAATCGTAACTGAACTCGGTATTACTTGCAACTGGAATTGAATGCATTTTGATTATTGAAATATATGTTGAAAAATGATTACGTTTTTTTTTAAAAATAAAAAGTGCATTTTTTGTGGGTGTTTGACAATTTGAAAACTTTTGCTTCACTCTGTAATTTTAGGGTAAGGAGAACTTCGAATTCTTCGGAGAAAGTTTTCGAATTCTTTCGTAAAAAAGGGGAAATTTTAATATTTATGTAAGAACTTCTAATTTCGCTATATTTGACTTCGTAAGATAACAATTACAAAAATAGTTTTCCAAAATCTTAAAATAATATTTTTATTAGAAAATTAAGTTTTAGTTATAGTTTTAAACGTTATTTCTTCCTCACTCTCGCTAGATTTAATATAAGATTTAGAAAATATTCGCTGCATTACATTTTATTAAAGCTAGGCTTAATACTACTTATCTTTTTCCAACTTAGGGAAAGTATTAAATGGAGGGAAAAAAACTTTAAAATATTAAACGCACCAGAAAGAGACACAGAGTATGTTTAAATGTGCAAAGATTGATATACTTTAAGCGGAAATTCATATTTGGAGTTTCATTTTATCAGATTAAAAACTCAGATTTAATAAAAATGTAAATGTTTTGATTTCTCAGAAAGTACGTACTCGAATTTCTTGCTGATAAAATCGCAATCATTCCTAATATTTTGCTGGCGTCCTAATGACTAATAAAAAGTAGTTTCATTTTGAAATTTCATTTATCATTAGCACTTTGTAATTTAAAACCATTTATTGAAATACTAAATTAAGAAATGATATTTTTACTAAAAATAAGAACATGATTTTTTTGTTTTTACTATCTTGAAATTAATTAGTCATATTTGTCAAGTTTGATTTAATGTAAACGTTTTTATTTTCAATGTACAGATGAATTTCTAAGAAAAAACATATTTTGATGAAACTTTTTTTTTAATTTTTAAGATGATGAATGGTTTTATTTAAGATGATGAAAACATATCAGTATTTTAATAAGAAAATTTCAAAAATCGATTCGATTACTGAGGTCGCTGTCAATGGAGGTAACCTTTAACCTCTTCGAGACAGGCGAGTCATATATGCATTCTCTAGGTGTCGATAATCAGTGTAAAAAAAGATAAAACTGGTAGCCAAACTATTTTATAGCAGTTTATTTGTGATCGGGGTTATAATGACTGGCGCCCCAAGGGCGATTAGCAATAGATTACTCAGAAAAGACTTAAACATTGATGATATCAATTGCTTTATAGCCAAATTGACCACAAAATTTTATAGCGACGCAAAAACATGCACCACATCAGATTTCAATAAGTTGTTCGATATTGATATAATCCGTGATAATTCGAATTTCAGCCCAATTACCGCCTTTTTATGCTCAGACTGCATACTATCAAAANAAGTGTTTCCATATCTGATGTTGAGGATTTCTCATCAGCTAAAGATTACTAATTTCTAAAAGACGAAGAGCAATAAAAAATAATAAATTTTTTGCTACTACATAACATTTTTCAGTCATTTATTTGAATAATAAGTAATAAAACGGAGGAGTTTGGGAACCATTAGTTAAATTGCCTGCGTAACGGATATAGTGAACTCCCGGTTATAGTGAACAAAAATGTCGGTCCCTTGAAGGTTCACTATAGCGGGGTTTGACTGTATTTAGGACAGTTCCTTTTCTCAAAGACATTCATGGTGGTGGGAAACTTTTTTCAGCATTTTCATTTATCTGGATGAATTAAAAGATTCTCAGATACCACAATGATTTAGTTATTTCTGATTAGATGTAGAATTATAAGGAGCAAGTACTTTTTGATCTATCAAAGGCTTTCTGAATGCCATAACAGTAGAAAAACCAATTAATTTCGATAATATATATACCACTTTTTCTATAAAACCACTTTTTGTATCATTTCAATATATAAATTCCGGACAAAACGGGTTAAGCTACCGCTTTTTGTTTTCACTATCTTGATTCTGATTCCGTACGATTCGAAGAAGAGGTAAGTAAAAACTCTATAAATCGATTATTACACCAAGAATCATTCATTAAAAGACTACCATTCGAAAATATTAATCCTCTATCCGGAGCAAGTCAGCATCTCTGAGACAATACTGACATGATCTCGGAGATTGCCCACGTGCAATGCGTTAAGCTTAGGCAAAAACATAATTATTATTATTTCTGCCTACAACTATATTTCACTTCTCGTTTCATTACCACTTGAAAAAAGTTTGCAGGTACGTGTTTGTTTGTATAAAGTTAAAAATCAAATTGTACAAAATTAAAAATTTTTTTTTAGGTGAAGCTACGGTTGTTCGGTTTCATGTTACCGTCCTAAGCATCGATACAATAGATGAAGGTTCAATGGTGAGTATGGAAGTTTAGCAAGATTCTAATTTTTTATGTCACACAAACATTTGTTATATATTTCCATAAGAAAAGATACGGTGTGATCTAAAATAATGTAAATTATATTGTGGAAATATATTTTAAAAATCACATCAACTTTTCGTGACCGTTCAACCCATATATTTTAATACTGAGTTTTAATTAAACATTTAAAAAAAAACTTTTATTGTCAAATATGTCTCAAAATTGATGAATATTTTATTGAAATTAACTCTTTTTACTCGTTTCTTTCCAACGTTGAAAATTAATAAATAAAACGGGCAGAACTGAAGGTTTACAAAACGAAACTCGGATTGTTTGCCTACTTGTCACAGGAATGCCAAAGCGCTCCGCTTTAGGAAAAAGATTTTATAAAATGGTAGTGAATTAGAAACTAAACCTTACTTAATCGCGTTTAATTACGCTTATACTTTGTAAGGAACTGTGGTGGCCAGGTGGTAGGATGTTCGAATCCCAGCGACGGCTGGTTGATACAAATTTCGCAACCGGCTCTCACTGACTACAGTACTGACATAAAATATCCGCAGTGGTAGACGGATCATGGGTTAAAAGTACTCTTGCCTACAGGCTTACCGTGGGAGGTTTTCCTCTCCGTGTAAGGGAAATGCTGGTTAGTTCCATCAGAAAGTCCTCCAGGAAGGTAAATTTCGCCCAATACTTGATCCAAGAGTTCCTTTGTCTTCTGGATTGGGTCGGCAGTTCAACAGCGTTGTTAAAATTAAATGAAAATACTTTATAAGGCTCACTTAGAAGGAATTCTTGGTTATTGCAATTACATAAATTTTCAGGCTTGTGTGCTCAAAATAGGCTTATAAACCTTCGTCAAATAGAAGAGGACAGATAGCACAATAAGAGAGACAGCACCAAGTAGTACCGCCGTCTGTCAGAAGGAATTCTTTACTTACTTTACTTTATTTACAAAAATTGGGCACCTGGGCCACCTAGCGGCCCCTATCCCATACATCTAGAAATTTACAGAAAATTTATAGCAATAACATTTTGAATTTAGCAGTCGATGTGGTAGCTAATAGAAAAACAAGCACTATTTGAATATCTGATTCATCGAATCTAAGTTGACATATATAAATATAAACATAATTCGACATATATATACATAAGTTGACATAAATAAATATTAACATAAATTGATAATTGGTATTGATATTACATAATTGAAATTATTTCACTAATTAAATTTCTACATTTAAACTAGCACATATTAAATTATTACATACATTGAAGTTAATTCGAATACATTGTGGTAGCTATAAAAAATCAAGCCGTTTGCTTGTGAAATAATAAAACAATAAAAAATTCAATATTACAAATTGACATTTTTACTTAACACTAGATATATTGATTGTAGACTTAAATCAAAAATAAAGATAAAACATGATTTGATATAGAAGGAATTCTAACAAAGCAACACGTTATATGAATAATTGTATTATTTAAATGTAGTGGTATGCAACAAAAAGTATATAATGCATATTTATTGGGATGGCCGGAAAATTCGTGACTATTTTCGATAAGAGAAGCTCCCAAAGGTTCGCATAAAAATATTCAAATAGTAGCCAACTACTTATCAACGCAATTGAAATTTTTCTAATTTCGCAACCACTTCAATCTAGATAATATTCATCTAACATGTATCAGATTTCTGTTGATGCAATAAGTTAACAAATCTTCGTAGTGATCATGAAAATTTAATGAATCATTTTTAAAAACAAGAAATTTTTTTTCTCCAATGGCAGGCACTGAATTTGAATCTTTGCCTATGAAGATGCCGGAATTGTTACTCATTTACTGTTACCCAGTGGGCACCTGTGAACCAAAGTCAGGGAGGCGAGCAACGTTGCCCACGTCACAAACACGTTTATAGGGTGGGCCACATTCACACATCNTGTTGGCTTGGTCTGTCGTCCTCTGGATTTTCTTTTGGGTCTTGCACCGCAGCCTGGGGGTTGAAGGATTTCTAACAAAGCAACACGTTATATGAATATTTGTATTATTTAAATGTAGTGGTATGCAACAAAAAGTATATAATGCATATTTATTCGGATGGCCGGAAAATTCGTGCCTATTTTAGATAAGAGAAGCTCCCAAAGGTTCGCATAAAAATATTGAAATAGTAGCCAACTACTTATCAACGCAATTGAAGTTTTTCTAATTTCGCAACCACTTCAATCTAGATAATATTCATCTAACATGTATCAGATTTCTGTTGATGCAATAAGTTAACAAATCTTCGTAGTGATCATGAAAATTTAAAGAATCACTTTTAAAAACAAGACATTTTTTTTCTCCAATGGCAGACACTGAATTTGAATCTTTGCCTATGAAGATGCCGGAATTGTTACTCATTTACTGTTACCCAGTGGGCACCTGTGAACCAAAGTCAGGGCGGCGAGCAACGTTGCCAACGCCACAAACACGTTTATAGGGTGGGCCACATTCACACATCACACACAACAGAGGACAGCACAAAGAGAAAGAGAGAAACATCCATGCCCAGAGCGGGATTCGAACCCGCAGCCAATGGCTTAGCAGTCAGGCGTGCTAACCGCTCGGCCACCTGGTCGGCAAAAACAAGAAATATGCTTTATAGTATAAATTTTGCTACCATTGGACATGAAAAGAACCACTCGCCACCTGGCGAATCACACAAAAGTGGTGATTTAAATTAAGTAAACAACCGGTCTTTTTTTCTCATTTTTTTTAAAAATAAAACACGTTTAATTGTAAAAGTACGTCTATGTAGAAAGAATCTGTAAAACCGAATATTCATATAAATGTCCAATGCTTACATTCAAAATTCTGATCCTTTAAAATCCATCAATTTGTGGTGGAAAAATTCGTGTGGAAGATTAGTTCCTTAACAATTTACAAATTAAATGTATTTTGCCTCCCCAAATATTTTTAAATTAAATTCTTTAAAGTCAGTGTGTTTAACTAAATTTTGTTACATATTCAGAATATTTTTTATTGATGACTTAACTTTTTATAGCCGTATATTATTTGTAATATGAATTATTTTTCGAAATATAATTTAAGCAGAAAGAAGTTTTCAGGTAGTGGCTTTTAAATTAAAAGGACTAATCGATATCAGTCACAGACTCATTGAGTTTGAGGAAAAAGTGGCTACAAAGTTATTAGTCAACCGGTCATTGGCTATTAATGTAAATTTAAATTTTCAGATCTACTACCACCTGAATACTTTTGACAGAGCTTTGAGAGCTTTACCTATCAAACATTATGTACGAAATATAAAAAATAAATTATATTATATAGTCCCTATTTAAATTGATCGGTAACAATAGGAGCTGTCCACTTTTTCCAAGTATTTTTTAAAACTATAGTCCACTTTAGTTGGTACGTTATAATGCAAGGGTTGAAAGTTTGACTTCATAAATTAAGTACAATATAAATCTAAAGTAGTAATTATACAGGGATGCCAACTGCTCCGCTTTCTGGAATAGTTTAAATAAAGTGGTAGCAAACTTCGTTAGAGAATGATGGTTACGCCTACTTTTTAGTAGTGTAACCAGTAGATGATACTTAAAATTATTGATATTTAGTGGTGCGAAAATTACTTAAAATGAAAAATAATAAACAATAAGTAACTAAAATTTCGCTACCACTAGAAAATACTATTTTACAAAGCGGAGCAAGTTGGCATCCCTGAATTAATATTAGAAAAAAAAATTATCTATTCATTTTAACTACCAACTTTCTATCGTGTGAGGTTAACTTCTGTATTTTAAAATTATTTATATTGTTTTTGTTTTATTAATTGTGGTAGTAAGATTTATGTTAAATTTCTTAGCTGTAGACAAATCACAAAGCAATTTAATCATCACTTTTAATTTGTCCCGAAATTTTAGGGTAGAGCGATTTATAATATGTGAAATACATAATTCATTTGTCTTTGCGTACTGTGTTTGATGCCCAATCCCGCATATGAGAAACTTCAATGCCAAATCTGAAAGCTTTGATGACGTAGATAGATCGAACAACAGAACTATTACTTACGAACTGTATCGTTAGACATTTTGATTGCTACAAGAGAAAATGCGACTAATCAATTCTGCTATGTGCACGGAAGTTGCATCGATTTTCTCAACAAATAAAGAACTTATTGTGTGTGTCTTGATGTTCACTTGAGTGTTTCTCTCTCCGAAAGAAGATACTTTGATTCGAATGTTCCGTGCTGGTATTCTTGATTAAGGTTTTTTTTCTGACTGAAGTAAATAATTATTTTCTCAAGAAATATGTTTTGGTTAATATTTGTTTTATAGGGAATGATTTGTAAGAATGATAAATATATTATAGGTACAAAAGAGTTTATAAATGTTTTACTCTAGTATTGTTTTACAAGGAAAATGGTTAAAAGATACAACTATTGATAATAGGGGAAAGAAAGATATAAAATGTTTTAGCTTAATATTTGTTTCATGGTAGTAAGTTGAAGATAAAATTTTCCAGATTAATATTTTTTTGATTTGGAATAAATTAAAGAAATGATATATATAAAATGTTTTACGTTAGTACTATTTTACAGGAAATAAATTGAAAGAGATATAACTGTTGTATATAAGATTAAGAAAAGATGATAAAATGTTTAGATTTATTTCATGGAGAATAAGGTGGATGGTATGATAAAATATTTTAAATATGATAGAGAAAAGATGATAAAATGTTTTATGTTAAAATCTATCTTATTATGATGGATTGGATTGGATTGAATGTAGGGTTTAGTGGCACAAAGTCCAAAAGTGGACATGCTGAACTAAAAATACGGTAAAGCAGTTCAAAAGACAAAATGCATGCAACACTTTAGTTGTCGTACAATTATAACTGATAAAATGGTATAAGTTGGTGAATAGAATCAGATAAAAGGTATGAATAAAATCAGAAAAAAAGGTAGAAATACGATATAAAATACACGAAGTAAATAA